ATGATGTAGACCGAAAGGTCGGCGAGTTATGGACCAGAAGGTCGACACGGGTAGGACCGGAAGGTTTACCGGGTTGGGACGGAAGTCCCCTGAGACACATGGACCAGAAGGTCATGGCCTGGAAGGGCATATGTGTGTAAGTGGTATATTGGGGAACTCACTAAGCATTTATCCTTATAGTTGTTGTGTTATGTGTTTCAGGTACTAGCGAGGAACGTGGGAAGGCGCCGTCGTGATTCGTACACACTAGAGAAAGGATTTGATTTTTGTGATCTTGGGATACGATATGTTTTGATAATTATTGTTGGATGTTTTGGAAATATTTTATGTGAAAAAAATGAAAATTTTGTTTTGAAAATTACGTTGTTACAAGTAAAAGACCATTTTACCCCTCCCATAACTGGTCCCACCTCTAATGGTCCAACCCCTAAAAGGTCCAAGGCCCAAAAGACCTAAAAGGAATTCATGGGGAGTACACCATGCGTACTCAAATAAGCTTCTTCTTCTTCTTCAAGCCTAGATCCAAAAGCTTCAAGCAACCCCACACTTCTCTAATAAGCTTCTTCTTCTTCAATGAGCACCAAAATGCATGAAATAACACCTAAAGATCAATAACTACACCAATGAGGACTAGGGTTTTGTTTCTAGGGTTTAATGGAATGGAGGCTGAAGATAAGAGGGTTTGGTGTTGATTTACTGAGATTAAATAGGGTCCAAGACCCTAAATTAAGGTTTGGGTCTGACTGGAGTACGCCATGCGTACTTCTGGTACGCCCAACATACTCCAAAAGCACCCACAATGCACTTACCTAGTACGCCAATCATACTCCTATGTACCCCCTTGCATACTAGGCTCAACCCTAAAACCACCAAACTTTTGAAGGCTATAAATTCTTCATTCTAAGTTCGTTTTTGACGATCTTTATATCCTCGGAAAGGTAACGAGAAGCTCTACACTTTTATCAACTCATCCTTGCCTCAAAACTTCCCGAACTAAAATTCAAAATTCATAAAAAGTCCAAACTGCTACCTTACAATTATACCATTGGGCTTCTAATTACAAACCGAACCCCCAAATCATCTAAACTACATTACCCACCCCAAAAGGGTCTAAATCTCTCTTTCCCAAAGGCTCCAAGCCTGATGATATCCGATCCTCGGATCACTGTCCCGAATTAGGAAACGAGTTAGAATAGGGTGTTACAAAATCTCTAAGCATAAGCTCTTAATGGTCGCACAAGAACACTACACAAATTTATGCTAGGCCACTTTCTAACCAATACCATGGGTTGGAAGCTAGATAATGCACTTAAATGCTCCGGGGTTCACCAAAAGTCAAAGGACAAGAAGGTTAGGACTAAAAAGCTCATAAAATGATCTAATACAAGATCTAAAGATATAATGAACAAGGTTGAGACTTTATACCTCCTCAAGGTCACAAATGAGAAATAAATGCTAAATCCAAGTTAAAGCCAAGCTTCTAATCCACAAGATGGAATCCTTCTTTTTCCAAGATTCATAAAATGGGTTCAACTCTCAAAACACACACCAAAGAGGCTAAGGTTTGGATGGGGGTCGTTCTCAGATGATGGAGGCTACCAAATAAGGCAACCCTATAAGTTAGTGCCTTCATATAGGGAACCAATTCTGAAATCTAGGGTTTTGAACTCTAGTTGTCATCACGTCATGGCTAAGAGCGTACCATATCGTGCAGACTCACTAATGCACGTTTTCTGGAACTAGGTTACCACCTCGTGACCATTCCATCACCAGGTTTTACATAGAGTTTTTTTACTCACTTATGTCATTAAATTTAAAATTTTGTTGCAAGTCAACCAATTGACCGATTCTGGAGATGTTATTGTGGTTTAGAATCCTAATTTGTACAAAAAAATGAAGGTTGATGTAATGGTTCAAACTCGCTTACAAGTTAGCAGAAAGGGCATAATCACCGTTTTAGGAGATGTTATTGTGGTTTAGAAGCCTGATTTGTACAAAAAGTAATGAAGACCCCTAAAAGGTTGATCTAAGACCCTACAAGGTCGATTGGTACAACAAATAAATGAATACCCCTACAAGATTGATTTATTTGTAAAACAAATAATTGAATACCCCTATAAATGAAGATCCTTACAAACTCACTTTTAAACCAATTGACTGGTTACCATCAATCTAGCAGGTTACCAAATAAATGACATGCTAAAATTGTGATGTGGAAGCCACATAATATCTTATGTGGTAGGATTGAGTTTCAGATATATGGTTTGCATCGAATCTAATTTCACATATCTTTTTTAGTCACTCCAATGATCCAAACTCACTTAAAAGTCAGCGAAAGGGTGTACTCACCCTTATAAGTGACACTTTTTATTATAATGTCTAATTTTTAGTTATCGTTAGAGCATTTATTTACAAATGGCATCTGAAGGTTAATCTAGTTGCTTAAACTTACTTAAAAGTCAGTGAAAAAGGTGTGCTCACCCTTTGAAGAGATGCTATTGTAGTTTAGAAGTTCGATTTGCACAACAAGTAAATGAAGACCCCTACAAGGTTGATCCAGGAGATGTGTAGTGAGTTTGAACCACTAAATTGACTTTGTAGGGGTCTTCATTTACTTGTTGTACAAATCAAAGTTCTAAACCACAATAACATTTCTTAAAAGGGTGATTGTTCCTTTTTCGCTCACTTGTAAGTGATTTTAACCATTAGAATGACCTTTATTTATTTGTTATATAAATCGAGCTTCTAAACCACAATAACATTTCCTGAATCGGTAAATTGGTTGAAATTGCACAAACTTATAAATGTAAAAGACATAATTGAAATTTTGTAGTAATATAGTGACTTTTTTGCCATTTGAAAGTCGATGTCAAAATCAAAATTTTGATAAACTTAATGACTTTATTGCAATTCAGAAAAAATGATTACCAGGAGAATCGGTCATTTGTTGATATTGCTACAAAATTATAAATATAGTAACATAATTAAAAAACAAAATAACTTGGTGTCAAAATCGAAATTTAGTGGTAATATAGTGAGGTTTTTTTTTTTTTAATTATTTTTTTTATGTATATTCTTATTCAGACTTTTCATATTATTATTTTTTTCAATTTTGTTTTCTAGTTTTTTTACATGTTCGATTCATGTATTTAGATTGTAAAAACTAAAAAAAATTATATTCTTTTAAGTACTTATTTTTACAAACCAATATGCATTTTTATTTATAATTATTTGTAATCTTACTTAATTATGTCTTGTTATAGTTAACGTGAGTTTTCAAAGTATACTGTTATAAGTGTTTTTCGTCTATGAATATGTGTAACTATATGTGTTGCATATGATTATATCTCTATGTACATGTGATTTTGTGGTGTGTGTATAGTTGTGTATATGAGTGACGAACACAAAATATATTTGCTCTCTCTCTCTCTCTCTCTCTCTCTCAATTTACTTTAAAAAATATTGCTTAAACTCTGGTTGCAAGCGTTTGTAATTAAACCCCTCATTATACATAATAGTTACATTTCGATAAATAAAAATAAAAAGGAAAAAACATGTTATGGATTAATCGAACCGACTAATTTTGATTTGTGTCAAAGTTTACATGTTTGACCAGTTTCTTATATGAACCATCTAATTTGTCACAATTTGTTATAATAAATAGTCATATATTTTAATAATAATAGACATAATTAAAGCCAACAGTTATACCATCGACGAACCCGGTCTTGGTTTACGTGGCCACAGCAAATGGTCGAGCACACCAGTCCGACCGTTCGTGGTTACCTGTTTTTGTGGTGATTTGTTGTGGAGAGGATGAAAAGCAACACAATCATATTTCTCTTCTCTCTCAATCTTCTTCTCTCTCTTTTCTTTCTCTCTCTTCATTTTCACCGATTAGTATTTAGATAGTGATGTGGTGGTTTTGTGATTGCTCAAAGGGCTGAACTGGAAGCTCTCCATAAAAAGTATAGCACATGGTCTAAGATAATAAACTAAAATATATTATGTTTATAATTTTACAATAACTTATAATAAAGTAGCTGCTAGTTTATTTTATTGCAAAGGGCTAAAGAATACACAAGAAAAGGTTTGGAAATGCAAGGACTGTTAAAAATAGTGTACAAAGTAAAGGGGTTCAAATAGTTAACTTCTAAAAGTTCTAGACGGCTTCTTTACCTTGTTCTTGTGCTTGCTTTGTGAACTTCTTGCGTACAAGAGAGAGAGGGAGTAGAAGAAGAAGAAGCACATTCTTTTATTCCTTCTTTAAGATAAAGAAAACCCAAAATTAAGAGTAGATTAACCTTCAATAATCCAACCAACTTATACACCAATGTCTTCTGGGTCTTGAAATTATTCCCAATTAGCGACACTTTGATTCTTTCTCTCTCTATATCGCATTCGATCGGATCTGAAAAAGCTGCTAAAGTTCAGTTCTGTACAGCTATGAATCTTTAATCAGGTATGTTTTCACGTTAACAAAATGGGAGTTTTGAAATAATGATCCAAAATCCTAATTCGGCGTTTGGGTTTATAAATTTGTTGCGCATTTTTCTCTTCTGGGTGATTCATTGTTAGTTTTGTTCATAGATTTACGAATGGCGTTGTCCATTGACCAATTTGTTGGATTTATGAACTTCGTTGATTGAATGATTATGTTTTCCCCCACCTTGATAATTTATGGGTTTAACCTAGAAATGTCAAATAAATTGATTTCATGAAATTTTTGGTAATATTTGGTTAACATAGAGATATCAAATAGATTGATTTCAAGAACGTTTCGGCAGTTTGTGTTAACTTTAGAAGTCTCGCATAATTCCTAATCGGTAAATAGATTATAATCATTCAAATTCATGAGGTATCCATTATCAAGAAAACCTAAATTAATCAATTTTGTGATATATAAAAATCAAATTTTGTCATTCAATAGATTGATTTCAAGAAACTTTCCTTTTTAGCGATTAATTGAAGTTAATCGGATTACTTGCAGATCAATTTGAATGGATTCACTTATTGATGGAGTCGGTTCTTTGTCAACTAGCCATACCTCCGCCACCTTATTAGGGTTCAACCCACCCGGAAAAACCCGCCCACCACATCACCCAAAATCCGATACCACTTCAAATCGATCTCATAAAACCTCCAATGACCACAAAGGAAAATCCGAAATTGTGGGACCCAACACAATCCTTGATCAAACCGCAAAAGAATACTTCCATAAACAAATTTCAGCACTCGAAGCCAAGGCCGGAATCAAGCATTCCGATTCCGACCCCGACCCCGAGACCATGGACTCAATTACATTCTGCTCGAGCCCACAAAGTAGTTTATACTCCCTTACAAACTTCACCGATACCAAACAAAGCTTTACAAACACAGAAGTCAGCGAATCGGTTAAAAGCGGTGAAATCGGGATTCCAAGTGTTTATCGGGGCAGCACGGGCAGCGATGTAAGTGAGGAGAGCAGTTCGGGCAGTTTCACGAGTGCGGTTTATAAACCACACAAGCAAAATGACTCGAGATGGGAAGCGATTCAAGTCGTGAGGTCGATGAATAATGACACGGGTATTTTGGAAATGAAACATTTTAGGCATTTGAAGAGATTGGGGTGTGGAGATATTGGGAGTGTTTATCTTTCGGAATTGATTGGGACACGAAGTTATTTTGCCATGAAAGTTATGGATAAAGCGGCTCTTGCAAGCCGGAATAAGCTATTGAGGGCGCAAACGGAAAGAGAGATTTTGCAGTCGTTGGATCACCCGTTTCTTCCTACTTTGTATAGTCACTTTGATACCGAGAAATTGTCGTGCTTGGTGATGGAGTATTGCCCGGGTGGAGATTTGCACGCGCTTAGACAAAAACAACCCGGGAAACATTTCTCCGAACATGCGGCGCGGTTGGTTTTTTTCTTAATTTTTTATTTGAATTTGTGATAAATTATTGTTTCGTTCATGTGACGCTAAAATTCCGTGAGTTTTCTGAGGTTGTGTTTGTTAAACTCGACTGGACAAGCTTTCCAAGGCTATTTTCGATAGTCAGGATGAGAAGGGTATTTATGTTTTTTTCACAAACAAAAGATCAAGAACAAGTCCCTGTCCCACCTTTTTGGGTGAGACAAAATTTGCAATTTTTTTCCCATTGACATCGGTTATGTCCCAGTCCAATGCATGTCAAACTTAGTACAAGACTGTTCTGTTTTGTCTTGTTAACAAACGGGGCTAGGCCCCGTTTGTACGTAGGACGGTACATGACAAGTTGTACAGTGTCAAACATACATTTGACTAGGATTGAACTGATGTCAATGGGACAAAAAAATGCAATTTTTTGTCTCACCAAAAAAGGTGGGACAGGGACTTGTTCTTGATCTTTTGTTTGTGCAAAAGACGTAAATACCCTTTGCACCCTGATTATCGAAAACAGCCTTGGAAAGCTTGTCTAGTCGAGCGTAACAAATACAATCTAAGAAAACTAACGAAATTTTAGTTTCACGTAATTTATACCAAAATTTCGGATTAAAACTTCATATAAAGTTTGAAA